TCCCTCAGTTTGGCTGGTGGTTTTGAATTACTAAGCTTGCAAATTAGGAGCACAATATATACCTGCTGCTCGGTTTTAGATTTTGAAGTCTCTTGTCTTTAGACTAATTAAATTTAGATCATTAAGAATTCAATATAAATGGGCTATAGTTTCACCAACATGATCAGACTTAGAAATAAGATTAGGAATCTGTATCGATGCAAGAAGTACACTAAGCCTTTGAAAAAGATTCTATCATTACTTGAGAAATATCACCATAAACAACTGTCACATGTCTGCCCAATCCAGCATTATTTTGTGACCGCATTGTAAAAATGACACTGGTTAAAATACGACCGTAGACATATCTGCTTATTGGAGCTATATCAGGAACTGCATCAAAGGCTTCCGGGAAATTTAACATGTACAGTCTAAATTCAAAGTTATTCTGTGGGAATGTGGTAAATGTTTGGGTGTATAATGAGGCACCTTTTTAATATGTACTTGTTATGAAAGAAATTACTGTACTAGCAGACAATATATGCACTGAAAGGTCCTTTGAAAGGGAAGTGCATACTCAGATATGTGAATGAATTTTGTCTTCTCCTGAGTGAATATAAATATGAAGACATAAAATATGGATTTAGAATAGCAAGAAACTTTGCTAAAACTAGGCAGAAAATAATTGGTTTGTGCTTCAGATCTGGTCTTGTAGTTTCCTACCTACATTATATTGGACAACATACCTTTTCAGAAATTCAATTTCCTCACCAATAAAAGGAGTGCAATATGATGTTTACATTAAATAGTATATGATGCATGATATAATGTATAAGAAAAGTTTAATGATACTTGCTGCCTATAAAGCTTTCACAACACTACATTTGATCTTTGATTTTTAGTTTTTGTTGTTGCTGTTGTTTTCAAATGGAAAATACAATTCTTTAGCCCTTCCCATGTAATGATATGGGATTTGAATTTGGAGAGGAGTACACATGGGCGGCCATGAGGGATATTCAACTGGATGCTAACTAACAACAAGCTGGATTTGTAATATTGGATAAGCATATCAAACACA